ATTTTGAGTAACCGGCACCCCTATCATTTTTTTTTTCTTTTGGTATAATATTGTAATTTCTCCTCTAACTTTGGGTTGAATTAAAAATTAGTATACTTGTTTATTTGTTTGTTTTTTTTGTTTGTTTGTTCAACTACAACTTACAGTGAATTTCTCCAAACAGTTTCAAACAGTGTTCTCCAGACAATCATCAGCTGTGGATTATTGGCTTGAAGCACAGTAATGGTTCCATCTGTCAATAGCTGATTTGCATCTTACATTGTCTTTTTTTTTAGGACTATGAGAAAAAAGTTATTCAGAACAGATGGGAGCTCATAGAATCAACCTTGCTAGGATCAATTACAAACTCAGCTGAATTGCAGGTGACTGAGAGTTTGAAACAAAATAAGCTTATGACCTTTCTTGCAACCTTAGAGTGGGGTTTTAGATTACAGTTCTAAGAAGTCTGCAGAAACTAATTTTGTTTATTTTTTGTTGGTGTATTGACTGTGTATTTACCATTTTTACCTTGTTTTTTTGAGGTTTTTGCAACATTTAATCAACATTTAATCAACATTTACATGTAATCACTGGCTGGTGGGTCCGTCAGTGGTTACTTTAGTTAGTTTAGTGCTCGTAATTTCGTAGGTAAAAGAACACTGCAGATTATTACGTAAAGACTATAAATATTCTGTTTTGTCACAGGATGCTATTTTGAAGTACAATGCTCATTATTCAAAGAGGTGGAACTTTGAAGCTCTACACAGCTACTTTAATGAGGTAACCATAGCATTCAGACAAGCTGCACAGCAGTCGATGTTCATTGTCAGCATTGCTTGATCTTGAGAAATCATGGATCAGCACCTTGGAAGTTGTTGTTTAGCTTGTGCACATGCTGTGACTGTGTACTCAACATTACATGTACATCTGCTTGACGCACACATCCTTGTATGTCATGATTTCCCCCTCTGTACCATGTGATGTGCTTTTAAGGTGGCTCAAATAGTAATATTTCCGTGAGAAGCCTGGGCTCTAACGCGCACTTCAGTGCTAGGTATCATGCGATCACCCAAGGGGTCGCGAGAAAGTGCACAAGGTTTCAAGTTTGCAAAACTCACAACAAACATGGCGGCCNTTCATTATTTTAGAAGATTAACAAAGGAAAGTAAGTAATAATAAAACAACACTGAATAAGTCTATAATCCCTAGTGCCCCAAGCTCTTATGTGGCCTTATTTTCTATTCCACAGTGCCTACAGGTACTGTGACATTTAGACGACAAATGATGACATCTAGCAAAATGCCTGAATGGGAAAAGTAAGTATTGTTGAGAACCCAATGAAAACAACCATTGTAGCATACCTTAAGCCTTTTTCAGTTTGTGGTAAAGAGGGTTGGGTGGGGGATTCGAGAAAGTGCCTCCAAAAGAATGTAATAGATGAGACTATTTTTTTTATTATTTGATTACTGTAAGTTGTAAAATAATAGTCTCTTGTCACGTTGTCACGCGATAATGCTTGTACCGAATTTATATTTCAGATGTCAGGCCCTTTTTGGCAAGCTGCATGTCTCCACTAAGGGAACAATAGAGGACAATGGAGCAGGATTCCTTCAGGTGCTTTTTATTTAATCTCTGTTGTTTGGTGGTCTTTCTTGACGTGATGTAGATTCTTGCTTTACATGGCTTACTGGCCCACACTTCTTTAGCAGATAATTCATTCAGCATTTTCCGTAGCATGAAGCAGCACATAAACGTATCTCATTTTAATTTTGTTTCAGGTTGATTTTGCCAACAAATACATTGGAGGAGGTGTTATAGGAGAGGTAAGATATCATTGGTTGGCTTTGAATTTGAAACCCACTTCTTCCTTTTTTTACAGAATGAGATGGAATCTGTCAGCACGCATTGCGGACCTCTGATGCTAGATAATCTTGTTTTCACACAGGGCTGTGTACAGGAGGAAATCAGGTTCCTTATATGTCCAGAACTGATCCTGTCCCGGCTGTTTTGTGAGCGTCTTGATAGCAATGAATGCCTTATTGTAACAGGTAAATGTGCTCTACCTAACTTACTGTACTTGACCAATGAAGCACCTCAATGTTTGTCAAAAAAACTACGCTGTGCGTCATATTTTCAACTCTCTTCTCGGTGTATGGAAATGCGGTGAGTTGGGCAAAAGCGTAATTACTTTAACAGAGAATAGATTTCTTTGGTTTAAACTGGTTCGTAAATAACTGTGGCTCTAGTGTAGACCATTACTTTCCTAAACGTTGTCTTAACCTCGTTGTTAATCAGCATGTTGTGTTTAAGGTGCTGAACGGTACAGTGATTACATTGGGTATGCGCACACGTTCAGATGGGCTGGGGACCATGTTGATGAAACAACCAGGTAAGAACACGCTGAGGACGCAATAGTGATTAGATACAGAAATCTTTGTAGCAGGGAAACTAGGGACTTCTTGCATTCNTAGTTGGGTGACCGTAATTATAATAATTAAAAATGTAAGAGTCAGGAAAGAGGCACAACAAATACATTGCTACACATAAGTATCACAAACTTGGTACAAGATTAAATATACAAAACAAAACAAAATAAGTAGATGTAAACTATCAAAGTACTTCTGGCCGTCAAGCTCGCACAAGCGCGTATTTAGCCGCGCGTTCACGCGCGAGAATGCACGCAGTAACACGCACACATCTCACTCCGAGTTCTTAATTTGTGGCTGTTTTTTAGGGACTCGTGGGGACGACGGCATTCCAAGATCGTCGCCATAGATGCACATGTGTTCCGCTGTTACACAGACCAGTTTCAAGCTGGCTTGCTCAAAAGAGAACTAGACAAGGTATTTCTTGTGTAAGGCTTTGAAAGACAATCACGTTCAATCACTCCCTTTCCCTACAGTATGTCATATAGTCGAACCTCTCCCTAACGGCCACCTCGGGAACAGAGGAAAGTGGTTGTATCGAGGTGGCCGTTATGTGGAGGTAAGCGTGTAATATAGCACGTTTTTGTTCTCGGAGGTGCAACATTTTTTTTCGAAAATGTCTATTAGCATATATGTAAATCAAAGTGTATTAATAAAACAGAAACTTAACCCTTTGAATATCAAACTTTCGCCAAAAAATACCGTTTTTAACCGTTTAGTCAGGTTTTTTTTTGCCATTAACCGTTCTCAATTTTGTTCGTTGCCCCTTTCCTTTCTGTTTTTCCCGGCCCTTTTATACTGGCTACCTTTTGCATTGTATGTTCTTTCTGGCTGCTGTGGAAAGTTGGATGTTAATTACGGGCGAAGCCTAGAAATGGACCTTGATCAAGGATAGGAGTAGGGGACCATTTTACCACCGTTTTTGCACGTTGTTTTTCGATTTGCGACATCGGAATGTCGTCGATATTTAAACCTGACCATTGTGCGGAAAGGCCTAGCCTAGTACTACTATCTGCTTATCAAGAATATCTTCAACCCAGCGTCGCGCGCGATACAGATCAATTTTTATCAACTTTAACACTAAAAAATGCTGTTTAGTCGTTGATTAACTGTTTCCAAGAGGTTATTTCAGCAGTTGGAACGCGTTTTACTGGCCATTGCTGTTGTGTAGAGGTGGCCGTTGTAGAGAGAATAAAATAAGAGTGAATGTATGGTCGTCCGCCGTCTCAGACTTTACCTTACCTTATTTTTCGTAATCCTCGATGACAGAGAGGGGAAAAGTGTGAATAATAGCTCTTAGTAAAGGAGATAACAAATAACCTCTCGATCGTTATCCCAACGCTAAATCATTAAACATAGGGCAACTCGACCGGTGTCTCCTAAATGTTTAAATTGAACCTGCTCAAGCGGCTAGGGTTCTTGTAAATTCATTGTTGCGTTTGATTATCACGATCTTTGTCAGAGCCTTCAGTTTACATTGAATTAATAGTAACACTTTTTTCCTTCAGGCGTACTGTGGATTTTATCTTCCTGTAGAACGGAAATATCTTCCAGCAATTGCGACAGGTTGGTTGATCATAAATGGTGTAAGAGACTTAATCAATACAGAAGA